GTCATAGACCTCGGCTATAGGGACAATTTTGTAACACCGTAAAATTTAAAACCAATATTTCATTTCAAACACAATAAACATATGTCGCTTTTCCTTAAAATAACTAGTAACAATTTTTCAACATATTTTTATTTAAGATTATTTATCACAAATCTAGGATCCTCCAAACATAACTCTTTCTCTCGTGTGTACAGTTGAGCCGACGCCTTCCTGGTATCATGCAAAGTACCTGAAACACATAATATTGTAAGCACGAAGCTTAGTGAGTTCCCCAAAATACCATACACATCTCAGTAGCCTCCCATGGCTATACTCAGATAAGACCCTCCGGTCAATGTGTCTGAGTGGGACCCTCCGGTCCCATAACTCGGGCGGATCCTCCGGTCCTAACTCAGGAAGCTCATAATAACAGTATTCAACATAAATCGCAAAGACATAATGTAGAATATCACGATATACAAATAAGCACATAAGACATCTCGTTCGCACAAAGATACCACACATGGTAAATATAGTGGGAAGACTCACCTCGAAAGCCCACAAGTACTAATGTCACACACGGAAATCTCGAACTAGCCTCCGACTATCACATAGGATAAATATCTCTAATTAGTACTATATTCATTCTCAATACCAAAAGATTTCCCTTTCTTACTCTTTCTAACTCCTGGATTGAGTAAAACACCATTTTACCCCTCCATGGTCTCCGTTACTCATGTATGACCACACCCTAAAGTCAACAGAAGTCAAACTCGAGTCAACAGTCCATGTTTGACCCGACTCGTCGAGTGCATCTATGTGACTCATCGAGTCCCCTTGTTTCTTCTGTCATATCGCAAAAATCCATCTTGATTCGTCGAGTTGTCTCACCAATTCACCGAGCACCCATATCCAGACGCATCGGGGAAAAACCCCATCCGACTCGTCGAGTCAGCTCATAGACTCGGCAAGTCCATTCAATCTGATTTCTCATTTAGACGATTTAAAGCAAATCTACTACTTCAAACAGTAGATCTAGCATCCCAAGACTCTATTGTCACGTAAACCTTCAATCTTTACTTTCATGCACAATAGTTTTTGCTCTAACGTATCAAAACATGCTCTCACAATGTGTCAAGCACAATATCCTTCATATGGCGGAATAAAGTTGGGACCTTTGGACTCTAGGGACCTTACAAGGTCCAGATCTGAGGTCTAAATCTCAAGACATCTCTGTAATCTCAAAACCCCAAATAAAGGTGGCATAAACCCTAACCTTCCGAAATATAGAGATCTATCCATAAGAATGATAAAGGTATGAACTTTTCACCTTTTATAGAAGCTCTTGGATGACAAGCAACATATCTAACATCCTCTTGTCATTCCTTTCTTGAATTCCATCTCTTCCCCTCCAAAGATGCACCAAAATACTCAATATAAGCTCAACATTCTCTCTTTTAGCTCAAAAGGTGACTAGGGTTTCTCTCAGTGAAGTTGGGCAACTCATGAGCCGCAAATGAGGCTATAAGTTCCCTTATGTAGGCCCTAAACCCAGGGAATTAGGGTTTCACTACACAGCGCCTACTCGGTGAGTCGGCTCTCCTACTCTTTGAGTCCGCTCATTAAACCCACACAATCATCTCGACTCTACTCAACGAGTTGGACTCACAACTCGTCGAGTCACTCAATAAACCCCAAAATAAACACACCAATAATATACCTAGGATTCTGGATGTTATGAATTCGGTCACGTAAATCTCCCATCTTTACTTGCATGCATGATCTAATGGGGCTTAGATGACCAAAATGATGGTCTAAAGGTTGTATGGGACTTCCATGGCCATAAAGTTGGCACCTTTATACCATGAAGTCCCTTCAAGGCCCTTGATCTGTAGAGTTTGCCCAAAAGAAACGTCCAAATTCAACCATCACCATACCCGAACAAAAACATTGAGCAAAACACCTTAAGACTAGATCTAAACGTAACATAGACAGGTTGAAGCTTTATAACTCAGATGAACCAGAAAAGAATCCCAACCTCTGGATCTATTCTCCTCTCACATGTTCTTCCTCCTCCTTCAAGCTTCTCCTTCTTCAAACTCACCAAAAATGCAAAAGATTAGCTCGCGATCACCAAAAATGGCTTAAGGTATCGAGATTAGGGTTTTGGGCAGTGGAGGCTGGAGATGAGGCCGACACCGTGGGGTAAGCTGTTTAAATAGGACGCAAAACCCCAGAATTAGGGTTTCATTTCTGCTAGCCTACTCGTCGAGTTGAGACCTCCTAACTTGTCGAGTAGGTTTCCAGCCCTGCGGTCCAATTCATTTATACTCGATGAGTTTGGGGCGTCCAACTCGTCGAGTTTCTATATAAAAGTGAGTAATTAGAAATTAAATATATACCAGGAACCAGGTGTTACATTTCCAATACAAAATTTTCATTTTTGTAAATAATAAAACCATTTCACACATTTAATTAAAACATAGTTTAACAATTGTTTTTAAACAAATACATTTATTCCAAATTAGACAAAATAATGGAAGTCTTATATGTCTGTGCATGTATACAATCATGCCTTTATCTTTATTTTATTTGAAGAATTACCTAAAAAACATTTATTTTCAACTGGGTAAGCGTAAATCTTCGTGAATTCCCAATATATCATATATTACAATACATATACATGCATACAAACAAATGGATCCCGTACTTTAGTCATTCCAACATTAATAAGTGTGTTTCGACTTAAGTCTTACTTGTCATTTCATCATCAACACTCGAATCTATAGGCTCTTGGCCCAACTGTCGTCCCACCAGCAACCCCTACACTACTATGAATATAATAACACATATAAACATAGATACACACATCATACATGAACACATATTGGAATACATAATAAAGTGATACAACTCACCTGTTTTGCAGAACAACAACACGAACTATTGAAAATAACTTCTCAGGTAAAAATTTCTATCGGCTTCTCGGGAGTTAACTTCTAGCTAACTATGACTAAAATGTGACTAAAACTAGTAGAATATCGAGAGGGTATTCAGAAGATTGGTGTAGGAAATGAGCGACTTAAGCCTTGTATTTATAATAGTTAGAATTACTATTCATATACAATTCTTTAATAATAAGTGCTAAATGTTGACATTATCCGTTAACTAGTATGAGATATTCATGATGTAATCATGACAAGTCTTTCTAGAAGATGGTTAATAGTAATTGGGTAATAATATTAATTGGTAAAAAAGTAAATAGTAAATAGTAAATATAAAAACCATAACTTATTCATATGAGCTCCGTTTTTTACGTACTTTATATCTACGCGTAGGTATTAATTCGTACTACAACTTTCATTTAGAATACTTTCGCTAAAAATGATTATATTTTTAATTCCATTTTTAATCGTCAGTTTTATAAAATCGTTTGCTATTTATTTAACAAAATAAATAGAGGAATTCATTGGTACCTTCGATTATATTTCCAAATAATATAATATTTAACAGATGTTACAAATCTCCCCCACTTACTATGATTTTGTCCTTGAAATCTTATTCAAATAAATCGGGATAATTCTTCTTCATTTCCTCTATTGGTTACCATGTACATTTTGAACAATGACAATGATGTCATTGCACCTTAACAATCTTAATTTCTTTGTTGTATAAATTTTGTGTTTTCTTGTCCAAAACTGCAACAAATATGACAGAAAACATTCATCGTTGATAACGTGTTTATTGTAACTAGTTGATTTCATCTAACTTCTAGAAAGAGTTCTTTACGATGTTGAGAGAAATAAATTTTTCAACAAATTAAATTAACCATCAATAAATTAACTACGCAACCACTCACATTCCCAAATGAAAGTGCAATGTAATAACATAAACAATAAAACCATTATCCACTATGGTTTTATAAAGTTGGATATTTTGGGATTTAATACACTGTTATAATTGAGCATAAAATCAAATATTTAAAAAAAAAACTCTTCTTAATGTCAAAATTTTGATTTTTTTTATAAAGTACATTGCTATAAATGAACATAAAATCAAATATTTTCCCAAAAACTTATTAATGTCAAAAATATGATTTTTTTTTTTATAAAATACATTGCTATAAATGAACATAAAATCAAACATTTCCCAAAAACTTCTTAATGTCAAATTTTGATTTTTATTTAAAGTACATTGCTATAAATGAAAATAAAATCAAACATTTCCCCAAAAACTTCTTAATTTAAAAAATCTGAATTTTTTTATAAAGTACATTGCTATAAATGTGCATAAAATCAAACATTTTCCCAGAAACTTCTTAATGTCAAAAATCTGATTTTTTTCATAAACTAAATTGCTATAATATCGCCATCATTAAACTCCACCACAACACCACTATTACAGTTTCTATTATAAATGAGAACCAAGAAGTAAACTGTAAATTTTTTGTGATTTCTCCCCCGAAAGAGAGAAAACAAAAAGAAAATAAAAATAACAACCTGTCAATAACAACTTGCAAGAAATGCTTAAGTTGAATATAATGTCCATTGCCTCCATCTAGAAACTTACAATAATTTACGGAACCATTTTCTTCCTAAGATGACAAGATTTCTTCCCTATGATGAACACATTAAACGGAGTAGATGAAATAGTGGTTGGATTTATTATAAATTGAGTTTCTTGTATTAGTTGTAAGACATTCTAAACACAGAGAGTAAGAAAAATCAAACAAAGCAAGCATGGAAAGTCAAGCTTTAATTAGAAAGTCGTCAAGCCATGAAGTTAATTATGCTAAAAAATGAGATTGTTTTTCTTTTCCTAACCATTTTTCTCCACTTCAGTTCGGGTAGTAATGTCGTAAATTCTTACAAAAGAACATTAATCTTAATTTTTATTTTTCTTTTATACTTTACTTTTAGTTAATCGGTAAATATATGATTTACGTTTCCAAAGATAGGATGCAATGTTACATACGATTTGATCCCAATGTCACTAGAGCAACATTAGAATGGATTTGATGCATGGCCAGGGATGGACACCATCTTAAAGGAATGGCTGCATTCATCTTTACATATGGTACCTAACCATAACTAATGTCTTCTCCCAAGTTGTGTTACTGATAAGCTTTCATAGAACATTCATTTCTTTTCATTTCATCTTCTTATTTATGTTATTTTATAGAATCTTTGAATAATTGTACAACATATGGTTTCATCGATCTCTATGAATTAGATAATGGATTAGATTCCCAGAATCAAGAGATTATATCCGTGGTCAACTCATGTGGGTTTCAGACTCAGAATCAACCACATTTGATAACAAACACAGAAAATACAAATGATGGACAAATTACCAACACAACAATGATGAATGGTAATGAAGAGAAAGTAGATTTTAACACAGAGTTCATGCAAAAGACAAATCCAAGAACAATGGAGAAAGAGAGAGTCAAAAATGACAATGTTGGCGCTTCAAGTTATACTTCTATGATGACGTTAAGTAGGGAAACTGTCACTAAGTATTTCTATATGCCAATTAAACAGGAAACAAAGGAGTTGAACATTGGAACTACACTGTTGAAGAAACGTTGTAGATACTTGGGTATTTATCGGTGGTCTCGTCTCAAACTTATGAGCCTGCAAACTCTTTTTAACAATGTCTAGGTTGCACAACCTTTCTTTTTCTCTCATAAATTGTTTTCCACATTACAAGTTAAAGTGTTCAATTTACATCATGCAACATGAATTGAGTAATGAGTCTGATGAGGGAGCAGAAAAGAAGACGAATGAAGCAATATTGGTACTAGAAAGAGAAAGGAAAAATATGGAAGAGATTCTGGATCTACAACTAGACACAATACTAGGAGATTGAGACAAGCATGCTTTAAGTCCATCTACAAGAAACAAAGAACCATGGCATCATCTGTTGGGTTTTGAGCACTGTAACACTTCTTAAGTGCACATGTAACCCTAAATGCTTTGGATCTATGTTTTCTCTAATTATACATGCATTTTCTTTTTCCAAAGCATTCACCCTAACTAGCATACAATTGTAGCTATATATAATCAAAACATAGTTATGATACATACCTCTTGAGTAGGGTAGAGTTCTTGACCTTTGAAAGCTTGAGCACCTCAATTGTGATGCCTCTAATGGTTCACAAACACGAATATGCAAGAGGAGGTTCTAAGTGAATACATTACTTCTCTCTAAGGTTGGTGCAACCGATTTCGGTGTATGGAAGGGTCTATTTATAGTTGTAACAAATGTTAGGGTTCCACTTTGTAAACCCTAATGATCCATGACGTTCCACATTCCTATGATCCATGGGTTTAACCTCCATGGACTATCCATGGGCTATATTATTGGTTTAGCCTACTTACATAATCACGAATTACTTAGCGCATACTATAAGTCTCATTGATTTACACAATCAATCCATCCACATTTAATTAGTCTCTTTTGAACACAAAATTAATTCCAAATTAACTCTTGGACAATACTAATTAAATAACCATATTAATATATTATACTTATAATATATTAGTAAATCATAAATAACCTTATCCTCATAAAACCATCCTATCAAATTGCACTGGTGAAGGCAACCCAAAAGGACCATGCTACTATCGGGTCAAGTACATACCAGTTATAGTTATGAGCTTAGACACCAAATCAACCATTATCAACTTTTTTCACATGTACAACTAAAAAGAAACATGAATGTTGTAATAAAGGAAAAGCCATGACTTGTACTAATAATTAAACCATGTTGTCAAATGCTACAAATAACATTGTACTATCTTTCTTGGAATTAATACTTTGTTTTCCTCTTACTATTTCCTTGTCTCATAAATACGAATCTCTTTAACAATTAAGTTATCTCTGACTGAAAATACTATTTTTGTTTGATTACTTTTATTATCCGGTTACTTCTTAGGGTCTTAACATACCCTTACTTTTTTTAGCATCCTACTTGTTAGGTAATATTTTATGGTTTGGGATGGGTTTCTTTATGTATAAGTCTTGTTGGGGTTTTGGTCTAGTTGCTTTTGTGTATGCGGCCATGTAGGTGTTTACAACCGTGAACCTGTTCACATCCGTAAACCTTGTTTGTTGTTGGTGTGTCCCTATATATAGGAGTCTGTCAGAGTGTTGTCAATGACATTGCAGTGAGTCGTTCACGGTGTTATGTGTGTGTGCTCATGGTGTACCTGACGGTTTATGCAATAAACATGTGCATTAATTGAATAATCCTTTTCTCTACTCCATTCTTGTTTGTTTGATTGATTACTTGCTTGATCACTGGTTTGGATCATTGGATTTGGGACTCAACAATTTGTATCAAAGCAAATTCGGTGTCAAACTTGTCAAGGAGTGTTTATGGCTAGAAGTTTTTCATCATTCTCGTGGTTGATTCGTGTTTGATTGTTGGATATCTGTTTTTGATCAAGATTCAAGGCTATTAGGATCAAATTCTTCTTGAAAATTGTTGATTTTAGTGTTCACAGCTTCAACCTATTGAAGTGTATACGACCGTGAACCATTCAAAGTTATTGACCGTGAATTGGATCTTTGACCGTGATTCATCCTTTGATCGTGAAACCTTCATCTTTTGATCGCGAAAAATTCATCTTCAAGTGTACGGCTGTGAACTACCTTATGTACGACTGTGAAGAGTGTACGGTCGTGATCCCTATACAGCCATAAACCCTTTTTGGTCATTGAACAATTTCCATTTTGTACTTTCCTATTTTATTTTGTTTGTTAATTCAACTTAAGAAGATGGAATCTCAAAACACCACCAAAAACGCCACCATTCATCAAGAACTGGACTCCATTATGGGAAAAACTACACGCATTCCAAGACTGTTATCTACTGAGGGTTTCCCAGAAAGGAAATACCGCATGGAAAATACATAAAAATGAAAGACTTCAAAATCTGGAGAAGTATCTTAAAAGGACCAGTACGGATCACCACAACTCTTGAGGATGGAATATTCATTGATAAGGAGTTTGAAGATTATACCGATGAAGATTTTGAGAGAGTTGAAGAGCAAGAGAAAACACTCGCCACAATCACCTTGGCCCTATCTCCAAAAATTGCTCAGGGTTTCACAGAATACACTTCTGCAAAAGCTTTGTGGGAAGCACTTATTGAACTATATGAAGGGAACGAAGATATGAAGTAGAGTCGATAGGACATGGTAAGACAAAGGTTCAATATGTTCAATCATTTTCTGGGTGAAACATTGGAAGCTCAATTGCAGAGGTTCATCACTCTCACTACTGAGATGAGCTTTGCTGGTGTTTTGGTAACAAGGTCTGAAATCAACAAGAAGCTGATGAACTCATTGCCAAAGTCATGGGACATGAATGTCTTAGTAATCAAGAAGTCAAAAGACCTAAACCGTCTAAGTCTCGCTGAAACCATGGCGATTATCAAAGCTTGCGACCTAGATGGCAAGGAGAGGGAGATCAATCAGGTAAACTCATACTCAACTGCTAGCCTCAGGATTTCATCTAATAACGTCTTCTTGTCTTTCACCACACCACAACCACAAACCTTTGTTGCTCCTCAACCACCATCTTATGCCACTCCACCCATGCAAAGCATCCAATCATCAATGTTGTATCCACAAGCTGTGTCTTCCTAGAAAGCATTTGCTCCAGCTCCTGCTCCTAAAGAAAGTGATGAAAACATGGCTTTAGCTACTAGCCTTGTCAACTGCTACAACGCCTTTGTCGCTGGCGAGCTACCTCCACAACTATCCTTTGCTGACTTGGATCAAATACATCCAGAGGCTGTTGAGGAGACGGATATCACATGGCAGATCGCTATGGCCGCGTTTAGAGCAAAGCAATTTTCCAAGAAGACAGGCAAAAAAAATTAGGGAATGGATGCTGAAGAGAAGGTGGGCTTCGAAAAGGGCAAACTAAGATATTTCAACTGCCATGAACTAGTTCACTTTGCCAGAGAATGCCCAAAGCCAAACAAGAGGGAAAATAGTGAACGAACCATGGTGACCGTAGGAAGCAGCCGGGGAGCTACCACCAACAATCAAACAACTAATCTTGTTGTGGTGGCTCATCTGTTTGACTGGGAAGACCAAATACAGGCCCTGAACATTTCAGGACCTGAAAATGTGCACCTTACCCAGATCAACGACATCCCAGAAGGAGAAGCTAAGGTGGACCCAGAGGTGGAGATGATGGAACTACAATTTGCGTTTATGGTGCAAACTACCCTAGAGCCTGCAAAACCAAATGTCGGTGAAATTTCTTAATCTCAAACTTGCATTAAAATTGCTAAAGTTTTTCGTGAGCAAATTGAATTGATAAAGAAGGAGAACGAGGACCTTAAGTATGAGAGGTACACCCTTAGGAAAGGTCAGAAACCATTGAAATAACAACTACATGCCAAGACTAAGGACTTTAGATAATTGCAAGAGGATTACAGTAACAAGTGTGCGAACTATAATCACATTAAGAAACAACTTGCTGCTGTAACTAAAGAACTTAACACATTGAAGACTCATTTTGAAAATGCTGATTTCCATTTTAAAAAATATGATGTGTCAAGTGAAAGAGTGGAAACAATAATTGAAAAGAAAATGAAGTGGAAGGACCAAAATCAAGTAGGAGTAGGTTATGAGAGTGTCCATCCCCCATTCAATCACAATTGCACTGCTAAACCTTTGACTCAGGAGGAGATTAACCGAGAGCCATCTATGGTTTATGGTAAAGTAGCTACTGAACATGAAACATAATGTAGTGTTAGGAAGTTAGATACTAAAGTTTCTACTTCCCATGTAGATTTATCAGTAAGCAAGGGAAAGCAGGAGGATGGAAAGATTGAGTCTGATAGTAATTTTGTGTCACAATTTGGTGTTCCTATTTTGAATAGTAATGAGTACGTGTCTGTTAAAACTGATTTGATTTGTGATGATTTGGTGTGTCAAACTCTAATGTTTCTGATAAATGTAGTGTTGTCTTTATGAAATTTGTTAAATCTGACACTTGCGCATCCACACCTTCTACACCTATCAAACAATATGTCCTACACTTGCACGTGTGGGAAATTTAGAAGAGTCAAAAAGAGCACAAAATTTGATAAAGGCGGTACCAGTTCTAATGATAAAAAGCAAATATGTTTCAATTGTGGTACTACCAGCCACATTGCTCGTAACTTTCCTAATAGGGCATTTGTACTTTTTTCAACACCGAGAAGAGAAAATGAGTCTTGAGGAAGGTTTCTAACGAGAAAGTGCTCGAAATCTCATCTTCGTGATGATGATTAGAAAGTTCATAATGATAAGAAAAGGGTTGATCGTAAAACAAACAAACAGGTTTTAACTAAACTAGCCACACATGCTTTTCCGAAATCGAATGCGGTTGAGCCAAGATCGATTTCGTCAAAGGGTGCATCTGGATCTTCGACTAATCCTAGCCAAATATCTAAACACTCAAAGCAGAAGAAAAATATTTCTAAATCCCATGTGAATTCTTCAAAACCTAATTATCGGTGGGTGCCTAAATCTACATTTGTCCAATCATCATTATTTTCTGACGGTGCATCTGATTGTAATTCAAAATTGAAAAATCAAAAGGATAAATCTGTTAATGTCAAGGGTAAACCCAGGGTTGTAATGACCTGGGTCCC